CCGCCCGTGCCAATCAGTGCGCCGGCCGTTTCTCCCTCCATTGATCCCGGGCGGAGCGGCCGGCGGCGGACGGCGGGCGCGGCCCGGCGGACGGCCCGCACACCTGGCTGGCCGCGCCCGCTCGCCGCGCCAGCCGCCGGCCGACGTGGGCCGACAGCGTGCAGGCGCTGCAGGTCCGCCGCCGGCAGACGTCCGGCTTTCCCTTGCAGTCGCACCTGACGCGCGAGGCTGCCCCTCTGCAGATGAGGTCGCCGTGCAGGTGGTCGGCCGCGGCCGTCCGCTGGGTCAGAATAAAGGGCGCGCGCGCGCGCGCGCGCGTGTGTGTGTGTGTGGTGTGTGTGTGTGTGTGTGTTGTGTGTGTGGTTTTGTGTGTGGTGTGTGTGTGTGTGTGTGTGTGGTTTGTGTGTGTGTGTGGTGTGTGTGTGTGTGTGTGTGTGTGTGTGGTTGTGTGCGTGCGTGTGCCGTGTGCGCGTGCGCGTGTGCGTGGCGGTGTGTGTCCCTCCCTGCGCTTTCGATAAGGACATGTCCTTCTCTCAGCGTGGGACCTTCGTTCCGTTTGCTGAGAGGGACTGTTCCCTTCAAGGTTAAACAAACGCACTTGGTTTTTTTTTCGCAACTATTCGTCGACATTGTCCCCCTCTCATTGCCCTTCTCTCGAGCTGTTGCCTAGTCGGGTTTGTTAGCGCACAAAGGCGGGGTGCCGTCCGTGAGACCTGTGGAGAACGTATACCGTTGTCATGCACACCAGATGAGAATCTGTGCTCACGACTCGGACCGCTGTGGCGCCACGCGGCCTCCGGTTCGGGCTCAGTGGGTCGAACGAACGCGATGGCTGTGACCGCGGAGCTAATTTGGAGCTGGGTTCGGCGACCGCGGCGTGCCCGCGACCCGGCTGGGCGGCCTATCTCCCGTCCTGTTTCCACCTGGCCACCGCCGAGTACCCCTCGTGCCTGGCTAGCGCAGAGAGCGGCGGCCAGCGCCGAGCTACCTTCTGGACGAGGTGGGGTTCAAGTAGCGCCGCGGCTGACGCGTCTCTCCCGCCCGCTCAGTCCGCCTCGTCCAGAAAAAGGACACCGGCCATGTGTACGCGATGAAGGTGCTGGCCAAGGTGAAGATGCTGGAGAAAGAGCAGGTGGCGCACGTGCGCGCCGAGCGCGACATCCTGGTTGAGGCCGCCACCATGGGTCGTCAAGATGTACTACAGCTTCCAGGACGCCATCAACCTCTACCCCTCATCATGGAGTTCTTGGCCGGGGCGGTGAGTGGGTCGGTGGGGCGCCGAGATAGGCCGGCTCGGTGTCCGGCTGACCGCGGCGGAGCTGTAGTGACGGCTGCCGTCGTCGCGTGCGCTCGGCGCGGCAATGGCTGAAGCTGTCAGGCGCTGCGCCATCGGTGGCCTTTGGTCGCCGCGTGCGCTGGTGGTGCGTTGCATCACTTCACCTCGCTGTGCGCGAGGCTGACGTCCAGATGAGGCGTGCCAAATCATGAATTATTCTCCCCCCCCCCCTCTCCTCCTTCGATTCTTCGATTGGCTACTGATATGCAATAAAGGATTGAATGATTGCTGTGTAAGAGGTGAGTGTTGCAGGCGGTTTCAAATGTGAGTGTTAAAGGTCGGTGTCCGTTGCAGCCGTTGTGCTTAAAATGAGTTTGCGGGTTCCTCATGTTGGCTGATATCGGATGCAGATGCTGTTCTTTTCGAGTTATATTGAGAACTGATTTATGGTCGATATGGAAAATAGTTGGCGCTGGTGAAAATTGGTGTCGATTCAGCAGTCATTTTATCATTTGTATCGCACATGTACGCGTTCACATCCGCTTCGGCACCCCTGTCATTTGCGTTCCCTTATCGCTGCCGTCTGCTGGAGGCTGGAGACCGTCCCTGGGCAGTGCCGCACCCCCGGGGCCATCTGGCGACCCGAACCCACCCGCGCGCGTCACCCACAGGTCTGCCCGCCCGGAGCCGTGCCAAATCTGGCGCGCGCCGGCTGGCAGCATGGCTGGCTTACCCTAAGCCCACTATACCGCTGTGTTTTCATCTGGCAGCGCTAGTAAGCCCTCGATGTTTCATCCGCCGCCGTTTATCGTCCTCATAAATGAAGTATTTCGCTCGACAAGAGAGGGACCTTGGCCGGGTGACGGGCGCGATGGGGGTGGGCCGGGTGCGGACTTCGATTGACCTGCGTAGTGCCGGCTGACCGGGCGCTGGCGAGCACGATCGATGGTCGACGAGTCAAGGGCGTCAGGCCGGCGGGCCGCGGTGCCGCCGGCCGGATCATCATAACGGCACTGGTGTGTGCCGACGTCGCAGCCGGCTCCCGGGACACAGACGGGAGGTCACCGACGTCCCGGGTCGCCTCAGAGAAACAGGCGGGAGGTCACCGACGTCCCGGGTCGCCCCAGGGAAACAGGCGGGAGGTCACCGACGTCCCGGGTCGCCTCAGAGAAACAGACGGGAGGTCACCAACGTCCCGGGTCGCCTCAGGGAAACAGACGGGAGGTCACCGACGTCCCGGGTCGTCCCAGGGAAACAGACGGGAGGTCACTGACGTCCCGGGTCGCCTCAGAGAAACAGGCGGGAGGTCACCGACGTCCCGGGTCGCCTCAGAGAAACAGGCGGGAGGTCACCAACGCCACGGGTCGCCCTAAGAGAAACAGACGGTAGGTCACCGTGAACGTCCCGAGGTCGCCCCAGGGAAACAGACGGGAGGTATCACCAACGTCCCGGGTCGCCCCAGGGAAACAGACGGGAGATCACTAACGTCCCGGGTCGCCTCAGAGAAACAGGCGGGAGGTCACCGACGTCCCGGGTCGCCTCAGAGAAACAGACGGGAGGTCACCGACGTCCCGGGTCGTCCCAGGGAAACAGACGGGGAGGTTCACTGGACGGTCCCGGGTCCGCCTCAAAGAGACAGACGAGAGGTCACTGACGTCCCGGGCCGCCCCAGGGAAACAGACGTCGTCTCGTCTCGTCTCACCGACGTCTCACTCGTCCCAGCTCACCCACGGGACAGGACAAGCGTCCCGCGTCTGTCTCTTCAGGCTCAGCGATGCGTCCCTGTTCGAGGCATTGCTGGGAGTGCAACGACGTGACATCGATGGCAGCTCACTCCCAGGACGTGGGAGGGGGGGGGTGGGGGGGACGCCAACGCCAACGGCCACCCGCCACCCTTCGTAGTCCAGTGGTCCGCGACATCGACAGAGACGGATGGCTTTCACTTCGTGGGCGGGCATGAGCCACCAAATCCATAGCGTATGCCAGCAATTGACCGCCGAAAAGGTGGATCTTCATCTTGCAAATTCCCGCAAGACCCTCGCGCTTCGGTGGGTCGTTTACTCAGAGCACACACAGCACACCAGTGTGTGCTGTGTGTGCACACACACACAGCACACAGCACCACACACAGCACACCACACACACAGCACACAGCAAACCGGCCGGCGTAACAGCGGCTCGTGCTGGCGTCGGTGCCTGTCACCGGCCGGCTGTGCGTGGCGGTGAGGCGGCGGGCGCACGGCGCCACCGGCACCGACACCGGCATGGGGAGGTCGGTGGCAGCGGCGCGGCGCAGTGCAGTTCAACGCTGGCGCCCGGCTGCAGCCGACCGTCAGCCATGTCATCGCGCGTCTCGGCCTGGCGGCGGCGCGCCGCGAAGCGGGCCGACCTTTGGGCGCTGCGGGGCCGCCGGCGGTCGGCGGCGCTACGGTCGCGCCAGGTCGGTCCCGCCCCGCCCCCACTGCCGCCGGCTGACGAGGCGGCGGTGAACGAGCCGGGCCGGGGCCAAGTGACTGACCCGCGGTGCCGGCTCGGCCGAGTGACTGACCTGCCGCGCCGGCTCGGCCGAGTGACTGACCTGCGGTGCCGGCTCGGCCGAGCGAGAAACGCCGTCCAAACGGAACAGGCGCGCGGCGGAACCGAGTGCGGCGAGGCGTGACGGACGCGCGGGCGGCGGTTAACCGCCTGTTTAGCCCTCCCCTCGTGACACACACACACACACACACACACACACACACACACACACACACACACACGCACGCACAGCACACACACACACACACACACACACACGCACGCACACACACACACACACACACACCACACACACAACACACACACACACACACACACACCACACACACACACACACACAACACACAACACACACACACACACACACACACAGCACGCACGCACGCACGCACGCACGCACGCACGCACGCACGCACGCACGCACGCACGCACGCACGCACGCAGACAGTGGCTCGTCGTCCACAGTGTTGTGTGGGGCGCGGCGATGACGGGTCCAGTTGGGCGCTGCGGCGCTCATGACCCAGGCCCTCCCGTGTGACGGGGTCCGTCTCCGCCCCCGTAGGCGACATGATGACGCTGCTCATCAAGCGGGACACGCTGTCGGAGGAGTGCTCGCAGTTCTACGTCGCTGAGGTGGCCCTGGCTATCGAGTCCATACACAAGCTGGGCTTCATACACAGGTGGGTGGCCTTGTCGCCGGCTGCGGCCGTGCGGACCATCAGGGGACTCGGCTGCGCGCGGTTGGCTGCACTGTTAGCCCGCAGGAGGCCCCGTTGATGAATGTACGTGTGTTTGCGTTAGTGATGGACGTAAGGATGGGATGGCTTGGCCGTAGAAAGTTAGGCAAGATACAGTTTTTTTGTTACCTGGAAATGACAAGGAAACAAAGCATTGTTGTCATCTTGTAATTTGCGTATTTTACAAACTGTTGTGGTTAGTAAAAACTGGCTCAAAGTGATCGGGAACCAGAATATATGACGTAAACCTGATATTGGTTATTGAAATATCCTGTTGCGTGGCGGTTTTGTTTAGGATATGCCATCACTGTAGAAAAACCTGCTGCCTTGGCCCGAGCAGTAAAAAGGCTCTCACTCCCACGTGATATGCCTTTGTTATTGTTCAGTTGTTTCTGTCCTTCACTTGTCCTAGACGGGTCGCGAGTCAGGGCGCCCCAACAAAACTCCACCCTCAGCGCCACTGTATCCAGCCGGTCATGATCCACCACGGGTCGTCGTCCTGTTCTCTCCGTCCGGTCGCCTATGGCTGTCCGGCGTCAGCCCGAGCCGCCTCCGCGCAGTATCACCAAGCCAGAAGTTTGCAAACAACTGCGTTTGCAGGGTCGTGCTGGCTCCAGCGTCATTCGCCCGGAAAACGTAGTGTAAAGTTTCCCCGAGTTCTGCTGAGTAACTGCAGCCTTCTCGGATGACCGCGGACCAGACTTCGTCGTTTTTTTTTTGAAAATGATGCCTGACTTAACGGTTGGCAAGGGGCGTGCTGAGTGGCCGCCACTCGCCACTGGAAGGATGAGTCAGTGCCGACGTAGCCGCCCAGTCGGATCGTATTCCGACACCGGCCGTGCTCTTTCGCTGTTGTTACGCTTTAATTGAGGCCCGCGTGGCGGCTGAAGTGCTGCAAGCGGTGCTGGGGCAGCAGCCCGCTCAGCGCCGCTCAGCTGCGTCCGCGGCCGGTGCTGGGGTGCCGACGATACCGTGCTGACCTGGCGTGGCCTCACCTGACTCGGTCCGCTCCGCCGCAGGGACATCAAACCCGACAACCTGCTGCTAGACGCCCGGGGCCACATCAAGCTGTCCGACTTCGGTCTCTGCACGGGCCTGAAGAAGTCACACCGCACCGAGTTCTACCGCGACCTCAGCCAGGCCAAGCCGTCCGACTTCAGTGAGTTCTGGACGGTACTTCCCTCGTGATGCACCAGGGGGGGGGGGCTCAATGCTCATCCATGGCCCAACTGTAATGTTGACTACAACATACGATGTTTATGGTTCATTCAGCGCGCATACCGTGCGTAGTGGAATGTAATCATATAAACAAAGAATGGCATGGTTCGCTGTAGATGCGGACCGCCCCCGCCGTCATCACCGCGTCTGTAGCTGGATTGTTTTCTTGTCAACCATGTCATTGCCGTGGGTTGTTCGGCTATGCGCCGCGGTTTGCGCGCCTTTGTAGGCGCGGTAAACGGCCTTGGATGGCCCCTGGTGCACACTAGCCCACCTGCGGGGGGCGGCTGCTGCACCGCGCGGCGCGTGGCCTCGAACGGCGTCACGTGGCGTGGGAGGGAGCGGCCGGCCGCACCGCGTATAAATAGTGCAGCACTGGCCCGGCCCGAATGGCGGCCGCCTGATCGGCGTCTGGCTCGAACGAGCTGGCGGCTGCGGCTGCGGCCCAGTCTGCGGCCGGCCGCACCGCGTGCACACGGACGCGCCTGTTGACGTGCGGGGAGTCGGCGGGATGCCGGCGGCTGGGGTCTTCTCTGGCTCCGGCCGGGCGGCCCGGCACGGGTCACGGGCGGCGTCTGGCGCGGCAGGGGCCGGGCCGCCGCCACTCTTGCCGTGCCAGACAGCCCTCAGCATCGCCGTTTGGACTCCGGGGCGGCGCGTTAAGGGTCGGTCGGCGCGACACGGAGCTGACCCGGACCGTCGTGCCGGCCCGGTGACTGGAGCGGCGCGCAGTCGGCCAGCCGTGCCATCCGCTGACGTGCCTCTCGATGCCCCTCTCGGTGCCTCGGTCTGACGCACCGCTGCTCGCGCGCTGCCAGGAACTCTGCCCGCACCGGTGACCCAAGTGCTCACGAACTTCGTGCTTCTCATTGTGCAGATGCTTGCGCAAAAGTATCAGGCTCCGTGACTGATTTTGCTGGAGATGGCTTCCGGTGCTTACGGGTGGCACGTAAGAAGATGAGAGAGAGCCATGAACAAAAGACGTCGTAAAATGTTACTTTGCATGAACTCTCGCGTCATCATACGTACATGTACGTATGTATGGTCACTAGGGTTGTATGATACCGTAAAATTTTGACCCCAGTAGAAGTATGGGCCAGTAGAGTATCCATCAATGGTGAAGTCATGCACTTCATGCAGCGAGAATGAGAGCATCAGGTGTATGCCTCTTAAGTTTGTGTTGGAAGCATCAGGTGTATACCTCTGAAATTTGTGTTGGAAGCATCAGGTGTATACCTCTTAAGTTTGTGTTCGATGATTTGCGTCATTGGGATGCGAGTAAATTTACTCGGCTTATAGCGGCGGATAAAACTTCAAGTTTGATGAACTCATTCAATAGCAACTGGTGCACACAGTCCGATACTGAGCCTCCTTGGGGGAGTCAAGAGTGAGTTTACTGTGGTGGAAAACACGAAAGACCCATACCTTCCTCGATAAAATCCGAGATGAGAAACTTCCTGCTCCTGTCGTTCATATTTTGCCTGCACCGCGGCTACCATGCCAGATGCTGTATGCTTCAGAGCTGAGAGCAGAGGACCGCACCGCGGAGGGAGATTCTCTCGCGCTCATTTCGCACCAGATGTGTGTCGCCGAGCTGCGGGTCACGAGCGGCACCAGCCGCGATGCCGTGCCGAGTCATGACGGCGTCTCCATAGGCAGGCAGCCCTTCAGCCGTCTGCCGGCCAGAAAGCTGGTCCGTTCCATGTCACTCTCTCGCTCTCTCCCGGGCCGAAGCCCTCGACCCGGTCGCCGAGCGGGACCGGCGCTGGCCGAGGCCGCGTTGCCGCCCGGTGCGCGACCCTGTCGCCAGGGCGGCGCCACCGTCTGCCGCCGGTCGCGCCGCGCCACGGGGGCGACAGCGGCGCGCAAGCGCTTCCGACGCGCTCCCCAGTCTAGGGGGAATTTCATCGACCTGGAAAGGGCAGTGTCCATCGGTTTCCGATGTGCCCTCCGGAATTCATTTCATTTCTGACATGGCTCGTTCTGCGTTACCATCGACGTTGTGTGGATGTACGGTGGTGGTGTCCCTGATTCCCACCGACTGAGGTTGTACGTGACCATGATCAGGAACGTAGCCGAGAGGGCCGTGCCCCGCCCCCCCCCCCCCCCCTCCCCTGCCGAGCCAAGTTTGCGCTAGACACTGTGATTGTCCAAACAGGCACGATTATGAAGACAGATTGACTGACTCCCGCTCTTTGAGGAACAGTTTAGCTACGTGCCTGACCATGAGTGAGTAGCTGCCTTTCATCCTGTGAGGTATGCAGGTGGTACGCATAAATTGATAGTACCAGCATTGTGGATCCCCGGTGGCCTCCGTGCCTGAAATTCGTTCGCTGCTAATGTGTTGCTCTCTGACCCCGAGCAAGGGGTGTTCCATTATATGCACTCCCAACCGCTAATGCTGACTTGAGCCTTCTCCCCAAGTGCTTCTCCAAGCCCCCCCCCCCCTCTCCCTTCGCCAATGCATATGAGCAAAGAAGGAATTCTTGGCCAAACCTATACGCAAGAATTATCTTGACGATCTTTATATATACATAACTACCAGTTAACTATATATATATACATATATATAACTTCCAGATAAAAGTTAACGCGTGTTTCCTCAGCTATGGTATGTGTATTTGATGCACAATCGTGGCTGCGGTGGCTTTATAACACGATCAGCGACTGCGGTACGCATCAGTGATACCTTAGTAAAATTTACTAAGGTGTTTTTTTCTGTGACTTGCATCCCATTATAAGCTTTTCACAAGGAGACAACTCACATGATCTTGAAATTGGATGTCATTCCTTGGTAAGAAAGCAATTTTGGATCCACGAAATTTTAGGAAATTTAAGAAGTTTTCTGTCAAAATCTACCATCGATAATGCAAATTCGAGTGGTCGAAATCCGGTGAGAAATTGGGTTGTTGGGGCAGGTTGGGTCAATCTTTTCGGCTGATCCTTACCCACCGATTTTAGAAAGTGACATCCCTGCCCCGAGCCCTGACATCTGCCCTGCCCAGGGCCCCGTACATGCTTGGCCGAGTGCCCAAGCCGAGGCGCCTAGGTGCTGGGTTGACCGCCGTCCGGTTCGGTACTGATTTGAGTGAGGGGAAGAAAGAGCAACAGGCAGTGAACCCTGGGACAGGGATGCGGTGGCATAAACAAGGTTCCGACATTCCTGCCACCCAAGTGGCCGAATGTTGAAATACTGCTGAGTGACAGCGTGGCTCTGGTTGCCCCCCCCCCCCCCCCCCCCCCCACTCGTCACTTGTCACCCGGCTTGCTGCAGCCAACACACCACCTTCGTGTTCCGCAGCGAGCAACCCGATGGACAGCAAGCGGCGGGCGGAGAGCTGGAAGAAGAACCGACGCGCGCTGGCCTACTCTGCCGTCGGCACGCCCGACTACATCGCGCCCGAGGTGTTCCTCCACACAGGCTACGGCCCCGCCTGCGACTGGTGGAGTCTGGGCGTCATCATGTACGAGATGCTCATAGGTGAGCGGCCAGGCGCGGCCGTCCGGTTGCCGTCTCCGAGATGGGATGGTCCGTGATTGCCGGGGCCTGCCGCAGAGGCATCCCACGTGGGCCTTACAGCTCTGACTTCCAGTGTCTCGTCTGTTGCCTCTTCTCTTTGGCGTGCTCTCGGTGCTCAGCTGCTCGTGTGTTGCTTCTTCTCTTTGGTGCGCTGTCGGTGATTTATCCAGTGCCAGCTAACCTTGCTAATTATCAGTTGCTCGTGTGTTGCCTCTTCTCTTTGGCACGCTCTCCGTGCTTTATCCAGTGCCAGCTAACCGTGCCAATTATCAGTTACTCGTGTGTTGCCTCTTCTCTTTGGTGCGCTCTCGGTGCTTTATCCAGTGCCAGCTAACCCTGCTAATTACATATCACCCAATGCCACCCGCTCATCGTCCGACCGCAGCCGCCCCCTGTGCCAGTGGTAGGCGTTTGTATTTGTATTTGACACACTTACGCTTCTACAAAATGTATATCGTCTGCATGATGGCTGGTTGCAGCACGATGATGGCATGACGATGAGGAGAAATTAGACGACAATGGAGAGAAAGTGACGAGGGCATGCGCAGTCATGTGTCGGCGTCGGTGCCTCAGTCGACCCTCAGAGACCCTCGTCACACGTGGCGTCCCCGAGGTGGGTGTGTCGGACCGCCGCTGACATCGCCTCTGTCGGCAGGCTATCCGCCCTTCTCCAGCGAGTCAGCAGTGGAGACGTACAAGAAGGTGATGAACTGGAAGGAGGCGCTCGTGTTCCCGCCCGAGACGCCCATCTCGGAGCAGGCCCGTAACACCATCATGATGTAAGCACCGTGTCTGCGAAACCAGCTCCGGCACCCGATCACTGTGTGGTGTGTGTGTGGGGGGGGGGGGGGGTGAGTGTCTGCTGCTGGGAAGGACACGAGACGACCGACTGGCGGGTGCCAGACGCGTCGCTCGGTGGGGCCGCTCGGACAGCCACCGAGCTGTCGCCGCCGGGCTGGCTGACTCACGGCGGTGACAGCTGTCGTCGCGTGACGCGCGGTGTCGGGTCGGCCGGTGTGCTAGGTGGGCCGTCTGGTGGCCGGCCGGACGCTCCATGGGGGTAACGCGTGCGACGCGTCATGATGGGGCCGGCACCCGCCGACCCAGTGCCCTCGAGCGTCACCTCGCTGCCGTGAACGTGGAGCGCGAGCGGGCGCCTCAGACCCGCTCCAGGCGGCCGGAGCCTGCTGACGCCGCAGAGCCGCCGGGATGGGTCAGGCGGCCGGCGTGCTTCCAATGTGATAGCTGTATCCCGCGTCGCAGGTTCTGCAGCGAGGCGGACGTGCGGCTGGGCGCCAAGGGCCTGCAGGAGCTGCAGCCGGTCGAGTTCTTCAAAGGCGTCGACTGGGAGCACATCCGCGAGCGGCCGGCCGCCATCCAGGTGGACGTCAAGTCCATCGACGACACCTCCAACTTCGACGAGATTCCCGACGTCGAGCTGGCCATACGTGAGCGCGCGGGATCTGCTTTAACGTTTGGAAGCCAGGGTGTTGTAGCATTATTTCTCGCTCCCGATGTCGACGTAATACGTAATGCAGCATGCCAATGCCCAGCGGATCTGGAATTGAGATATATATGCATCAGGCTGACCTGGCCCATCAACCCAGCATATTTTCGTGTCACTTGCAATTTTTGTCTGTGTTAGCTCCTCCTTTCCTCCATTCCCTCTCAGATCTTAAGCTTAGATTTCGTGATGACATTGATGCCAGCACCGTTGCCCCGTCCAAGACTCCGGCCTCATATTCGAACTCCCCGTCGATGTCTCATCTTCATCAAATTACCATTGGACGCTGGTGTCGTGACTGGATCCTTCCTCCCTGTCACCGCTGCTAGCCACGACCTCCGGCACTCCCGTCGTGCCCTCCGTGCGCTCCGCGCGACGGTCGTGTCCCCCAACACTCCCCGTACTCCCTGCAGACGGCCGTGTCCCCGCCATCGCTCGTTTCCATGCGCTGCCCCCGGCTGACGCCGTCCCTCGGCCGGCAGCGTCGGCGCCGCCCGACAAGGACGGCGAGCCCAGCTGCAAGGACTGGGTGTTCATCAACTACACGTTCAAACGCTTCGAGGGTCTGACGCAGCGCGGCCTGGTTCGGACGAACCGAAAGTGAAGCGCCGGCCAGCCTCCGTGGCAGACGCCGCGTCTCGGGGTCGGCGTGCATGTGCGTGTGCGCGCGCGTGCCATGCTCGGGAACGGCGGCGCCGGCCGCGCCTGTGATAGTGTCGCCCGAGCGCGCGGCGCCCCTGATCTCCCGCTCCCGCGGGCGGCCCGCCCCCGCCCCCGCCCCCGCCCCTGCCCCGCCTGTACAGTCTGTGCGTGGTCCCTGTGCGCCGTGATGTGTTGACGCCTGTGGGCGAGCCGAGCGCGTTCGGGTGTCGCCAGCCTGCCGCTGCCCTCCTATTTAATCACGCCCCGCACACACACACACACATTGTTGTGAGCCCTAGTTGTTGCCCCTGCCTGCGCACGCATATTGACTCGGTGAGTCGGGGACTGCGCGACCGGGGACGAGTCTGTGATGATCCAGTAGCAGGCTGCTGCGCTCCGTGCCAAATACCGCGGCCGAAGAGCAATACAGGACCTGCCGCACCGGAGATGGACTCATATCAGCGTGTAGAATCCAACTAGTCATCGTATGCAAGAATGAATAATACAGAGATGCTGGTTTGTACGAAAGTCTTTTATTTATATGGTATAAAAGCTACGCCACATGATCCATCAACAGACAAGAGCCTACGCGCAGCCAATGCATCACGATCAGGTACAGGCGGCGACATGTGAACAACTAAGAACGGTCGCAGAGCCGACTAAAGGAGCACGCACTATCGGAGATGATCAAACATCCTGAGAAAAAACCTTCGTTCGGAAAAGCATGACTACGCTATACATCTAATGCGTCCACGGGCCCGTGCCGACCTCACCCAAGTTCACAGGGCTACGACGCGGTCCGGCCCGCGCTCAGAACCCTTCGAAGTCGTCTGAGCTGTCGGCGTGTACCGCGGCCGTGACGAATGGCTGCTCCTCGTCCGAGGTCAGGTCGTCGTCTCGCAGCGGCGGCTCCATGTCCGAGTCGACCGCCTCGCGGTAGTCGACGGCGCGGCGCGGCCGACGACACGACGGCGCGCGCGCCGTCAGCTCCGGCTTCGCCTCGTCAGCGGGTAACGGTCGGCGGCGCCTTTTGCTCCCGGCGGAGGCGACTGGCCGGCGGCGCCGCTTGGCTGGTGCGGTATCGGAGGCAGAGGCAGAGGCAGAAGCAGCGGAGGCAGATGTAGAGGCAGCAGCGGAGGCGGCTGGCGGGCTCTGTCGCTGCGCCGGCGGCGGCGCGGCCGCGCCCGTGTCATCCTCCGCCTCGCTGTCGGAGCTGAGCGCCAGCCGACCGAGCGCCATCCCGGCGATGGAGGCCTCCACGCGACGAGCCGCCTCCTCCTTAGTCAGCTGGGGCTCCTTATCCGGCTCCTCCTTGGGCTCAAGCCTGGCCTTGAGCTTCGCCGCGAGTCTCGGCTTGGGCCTCAGCACCGGATCCGGCTCTTCCTTGGGCTCCCGCTTCAGCCCTAGCTCGGGCTCTGACTCGGGCTCCAGCTTCGGCTCCGCATTGGGCTGCCGCTGCTGCTGCTGCTGCTGGGCGGGCCGCAAAGGCCGGGCGCGTTTGCTGGCTGCGGCCGGCTGGTCGGCTGGGCCGGGCCGCTTCTTGGCCGCTGGCCCGTCCTGAAAGCTGTACTTGTTGGCCAGCCGCTGCCGGATGAGCAGGCCACGAGTCAGGCGGCGCCAGTTATCGAGCACGCGCTTCTCGTGCCGTTCGCGCTGCCGCCGCCGAGCCTCGCGCTGCTCCTGTCGGACCGGCCACACGGGCGTCGTCAATATTAGCAGTACCGCACAGTTTTGCTCACCTTGTCTGGGTGATTAGAACGTCATTCTAAGCCTCTCCCGGCCATTGGGCTCCAGCTTTCATCTACAAAAGTGCAACCATTTCCCCAAACGGTACCCAGCCATGCTCATCCATTTACGATCAACACTGGGGCCTACACTCCCATAACTATGGGGCACCCACACCGGCACAACATGCAAGTTTGTTCTCATAACTCCAATCCAAATCACTATTTCAGGGCAAACCTGACCTTTCAAACCAAGCGCTGCCACCCTCCTCATACGTGGGGAGTGACCGAAGCCATACAAGAAACTGCCACCTGGCGGATGTCGCGACCGCAACCGGCCAGCCGCGGCGCCCGCTGGTGGTCGCGCGCCGCACGGACCTGCTCCCAGGCCTCCATGAGCGTGTCCTGGAACTCCTCGCACACCACGTAGCCCTCGAAGACGGGATGCGAGCCGCCGCAGTGGTAATCCCAACCGACCATGGCCGGCGCGCAGTCGATGCCCAGCTTCTTCGCCACCCGGCTGAGGCCGTCCACTGGGCGCGGACCGGGGCGGCGGGAGTCAGCGGTGCGGCGGGTGCGGGGAGACCGCGGCTCAACAGTACCCGGCCAACCACCGGCGAGAACCGACACGGGCGACGGCCCCGCACACCCACCTCATAGACCAAATTATTTGTGTTACCAGTGGGAGGCCATGGACTTATTTTTTGTTGTTGTTTATTGGTGTTTTAGGGCGCGCCCACTGCCATGGTCACTTTGCGCCCAGCTAAGGACCTCAAAACACCACAGCCTAACAACACGATCATGATAATACCACGACCCACCTCCATCACCCTCGTTTCCTGCTCCCCCGGCGCGTGCCCCAGTCTGAGCGTTGTCCACCCGCGCCTGCCCCCGCGTGTACCCCCGTCCAAGCGCCTACCCTCGGCGTGTACCCCCGTCCGAGCGCCCCCTCCCCGCGTGTACCCCAGTCCGAGCGCCCTGCCTGCCCCGCTCACCGGCCAGGTGGACGGTACCGCCGGGCAGCATGCTCGGCTTAAACAGCTCGACGTTGCCGTAGGCGTTGCGGGGCACCACGCCGCCCTCGGCTGTAGGCGGCACGTACTGCTCCGTCTGCCAGCGCCCGAACACCGGCAGCGGCTGGTCCGTGATGGCCCTCTGCAACACCTGAGACGCGGCGGGCCGTCACAACGCGGTCCGGAGCCGATCCGGGCACTGTGCAACCATGTCCGAAGACGCACCGACCAGCCAACGGCGTGGCGTCACATCCACAAAAACGCGCCAATTGAAAAACACGACATCCAAACCACCGTGTGGGATGGACAGACCAGTGACCTGTTCACAGTGCGAGACCGCAGTGAACCCCACTCACCCGGTCCCACTTGGGATGCGCGTTGACGATCTTGCAGGACCCCCCCCCCCCCCCCATCAGGCCGCACGAAGCGCCCCACTCACCCGGTCCCATTTGGGACGCGCCTTGACGATTTTATAGGGCTCCTCATTGGGCCGCACGGAGCGCGCCTGCTTGATCCACGTCTCGCGCGAGTGCAGCGTGTGCACGCACTCGCGCGCGTAGATGGGCGTGCGCCGCTCGCCCTTGCCCAGGTAGCCGAGCGGCACGGCCGACGGCGGGTAGATAGCCTGGAACTTCAGCAGGTGTCGCTCCAGCGCGTATAGCGGGTGGTCCTTGAACCTGCGCGGCCCAAAACGACGCCAATCAAGCGCAGGCCCGGCAGTCTGGCTCCTCTCACGCGCGGCTCAACTGCATCATCAACCGCTATCAAAAACAGCATTAGGACACAATGCTTCCTCTTGCTATCCAGATTACGCGCAAAACCTAGCATCAGTTAATAGCAGGCGGTATCAGTCAACATAGCTAGTGAAGAGGATCGACGTACTCGGCAATGGACTGGGGCATGGGCCTCTCCTGAAGATCCTTCTCCAGCTCTTCGTCCTCCTCCCTGTCCCTCCGTGAGTGTCCTCCCTTCCACGCGCGGATGGCCTGCTCCCACCAGTCGGGTTCGACGCGCAGTTTCCGTGTCGTGGAATGCCACTTGGGGTCGTAGCGGGCGGTGAGGTCCTTCGCGTGGCCGCCATTGTCCAGGCCGAGGACGTATGTCATCGGGCAGCTGGCCCGTTTCTGCCGAACAAACGGGGGCCAACACGCCAGGCTGAAAGCAAGATGAGAGCGCGGCGGGAAGGCAACGCATGGCGCGTGCTGAAATCAAGACATGCCATGATGATCAGCAGGCGGGGTAGCATACAGCGGGTGGATCCAGGATTTCGTCAAGAGGGGCCATGCCAAGTCGTGCCCCCTGAAACTTGTTGCCCGCTCCCCCCCCCCCCCCCCCCCCCCGCTTGCGAAGAAGTCCGCGAATTCCGGCCACTTTATTTTCAGATTCTTTTTTTAACTGGTACAATGGAATAGTGCACCAGCTTTAGCCAACTACATTTCAAGATGTCAATTTTCTTTTACTTTCATGTGTTTAACTTGAAGATTTGGCAGCTTGAAGTGTTCCTGAAATTCGTGCGTCTGAAAATACAGGTTATGTGGGCCCGAAGCGAGGGCTTGGGTGCCCCTTCCGCCCAAGCAGCGGAGGCACGGCCCCATCTCCGCCCTCTGGATCTGCCATTGTTCGTATACTGGTTTTACAAACGTGGGGCAAGAGCGGTCATTGGTCAAACTTAGCTGGCATGGCAAAATGCAAGCTTCCGCTCCGGCTACACACGGCATCAACTGTCCCACCCAACGCAAACCGGTGCACGTCTGCAGCCTTGTCCGTGTGCATAGAAGCGTCAGTGTATGACAGTCACTGTCCGAGGTCGGCTGGTCGGTCTGCTGATGGCTGGGTTGGGCAATGACGCCGGAGCAAGGGGTCAACGTGTCAGTGGGGGGGGGGGGGGGGAGGGGGGCGTGTCTCTGAAGTACTGGGGCGGGCGGTGTCTGTTTATGGAACGCTTCTCAAGTGTCAGTGCCTGCAAGTGGGATTTCAGGCATTGCGTGGCAATCATCTGACTGGACCGGTCTGCACGCAATGCATACATGAATGCATACACATAAGGATTTCTGTATTATGTGTGTACGCATGTGCGCATGTATGTATTTATGTAAGTGCGTGCGTGCGTGCGTGCGTGCTTGCGTGTGTGTGTGTGTGTGGTGCGCGTGCGTGCGTGCGTGCCGTGCGTGCGTGCGTGCGTGCCTGTGCGTGCGTGGTGTGTGTGTGTGTGTGTGTGTGTGTGTGTGGTGTGTGTGTGGTGTGGTGTGTGTGCGCGGCGCGCGCGCGCGCGCGCGCGTGTGCGCGCGCCGCGTTGTGTGTGTGTGTGTGTGTGTGTGTGTGGGTGGGTGTGTGTGTGTGTGTGTTGTGTGGTGTGTGTGTGGTGTGTGTGTGTGATGTGTGGTGTGGGTGTGGTGTGTGCGTGCGTGCGTGTGTGGTGTGTGTGTGTGTGTGTGTGTGTGTGTGTGTGTGTGTGTGTGTATGAGACCCTTAACAGGCTGGCGGTCATGTGAGTTGCTGTGAGGGAATGGCACCCAGCTCCGCGTCTCGCGCCCAGGCCGTCACTGACTTGCGTTGGGTTATTGTCTCCAAGGACCACGACTGCGTTACTGCCCACACCACACTGCCACCGTGTTGTGCATGCTAGCCGTCTCTCTCCCCCAGTCCAGGCCAATGGCCGGCCCTGCTGTCTAATGCGCACCCCGACCCTAGCCTTGAAGCCAGCCCTGAGAGACTAACCCTGATCTGAGAGACGCAGTGCACGCCGCCGCCGCCGGTGACGTCAACGCAGAGCCAGCGCAGCTCCTCCTCGACGTACACCTCGGCCCAGTGGTCGACGGCGGCGCGCGCCGGCCGGCCGCCGCCCGGCTCCGGCTCGCTGGAGCTGCTCAGCACACGCCGGTCTCGTTCGCCTCGGAAGGACGGCCCGGCCGGCTCGTAGTCATCGGACGAATCGGACGGCAGCCGAGGTCGGCGCTTGCCCTTGCGCTCGAAGCCCGCTCTGGTGGCCGCTGCTGGAACTGACGCCGACGCCGCGCCTTTCTTCGGCTTCGGCTGGCTTGCTGAGGTGGCCTTCCTGGTGCCTGTGCTCGCCTTAGCGCCGTCCCGCTTCGGCGTTTTGCCGCTCGGCTCCTTTTTCACCTTGGGTGCAGACTTGGGCGGCGTGGCAGTCGCGGACACGGCGGAAACGGGGGCCGGCTTCAGAGGAGACGGCTGCAGCGACATAACCAGACGGCAATCGACTCCGATGGCCCGCAGTATCAGCACGAACAGGCACACCAGCTCCAGCGAGGTGGACGCCTTCTTCAGCCGCAGCCGACTTTCCAGTGTGCGGAACACATCTTCCGAGGGCTTCTGACCGTCGGCGGCCGACTCCAAGGGAACCTTCTCGCGAAACCACTTGAGGAACTTTTCCACGTAGGTCAGGGACACGCGCTTCGGGGGGTACGCATATTTCGAAGGTAGCATGGACATGGCACAGGCCAGCATGGTCTCTGAGTTGAGCAGCGAGTTGATCTGCAAACTCCGTGACAGCAGGCAGAGCAGGTGCGTCTTGTGAATGAGCACCTGAACCTCACGTCGAACACGACTGATCTGGCGCTTCAGGTGCGCCTCTACGTCAAACACTTTCTTCTTCTTCTTTTTCAGCAAGGCCATCTCAGAAGGCAGGGTGACCTCCACAAAGCCTTTGGTGGCCAGGTCGGAGGAGTGGGCCGCGTTCCCCACGGCCTCCCAGTCCGAGTCGTCCGACACGACAGCCTCCTCCGCACTGGGCCCCTCGCCCAGTCGAAGCAATGCGGCAATATCCCCTCCAGCTGGGCTGGGATCGCATTTTGGCACCAGCTCAGATGGCTTATGGCGTGCCTTGCGCACCTGCTTTTTTGTTTGTCCTGCATGAGATGCTTTTTCCTGCAGGCGCTCACGTTTTCTTTTATCAGATAGGCCACTGATGTTGTGGTGGTCTTTTTCAGGCTGTTTCTCATGGCTGTGTTTCTTTCTAGATTGCTTCTTACAAGATTGTTCTCCTGAACCAGCATGACTGTTCTGGCTAATATGGGAAGTGTCTTGACCATGTGCCTGCTTTTGTTTGGTACATCCTTGGTTGATGGAGCCTTTGTTTGCCCCCTTCCCTAGCCTTGGTGGTTTACTTTTTAATTGTGTGTTTACTCCTCCATTTTCCTCACTTGGCTTCCTCTTGACAGACAAGGGATGGGGCTGCCTCCCTGGACGTTCCCGCATAAGTCTTGCCAATTTCTTTGCAGGACTTAGCTGACCAGACAATGAATGAGCATCACCTGATCTGGGGCATGTCAATTCTGGGGTGTGAGGAGCATGTTGAAATTTCTTAAGCTGCCTGGAACGTGGTTTGGCCTGGCCTTGCACCTGCAGCATAACTTCACTGGCACTGAGGGTTGACCTTTTGGGAGGCATGTTATGACTACTTCATCAAGATTCTGAAATAAACAAGATCACATTTTAGGGACAACTGCTCCATTGCATTGCAGTTGTTACACAAAGTTGGAAAAGTGGTCCACCGCAGAAAACACACCACAATACATATTGAGGAGCATATTCAGTCATAAAACCAGTTACATGAGCAAGAGTTTGCAGCACTAAAATATCACACACATGTTTTGGCCTAAGGAAGAAAAGAAAATACCTTCCCACACAGCAAACAGCAAAAAACTGGTCCCTCATGGCAATAGTGATGCTGACAAGCCACAATCTTTGTCAACATAATATATTAGCAATGTTACAAGTCATGATTCAACATAACTCTTGATCACATCCAGTCAAAATATCTTTTAACTTGCTGATGATAATCTGGTAGCTTAAACATTCCAGTGATTCTGTCAGTTATGTAATAAATACTCAGACTATGTTAGGGTAAGTTAGAATCTGCAGTGAATTCATGTGAGAACAATGAAGATTGGCACAATGTGGCACAAATGGGTCCTGGCAAATAATATGATAACAAATATACCAAAATATGATGGAAGAAATATGGCATTGTAGAAGGCAATGGCATTTTCATATTGCTGCTAAGTTGAAAAGTGGAATTAAGCATTCTGGTTTGCATATCTTTGAATGGAAATAACATGAGCATCCAGAACTATTGTTATAATTTTACAGTCATATATGCATGCATGCTTTGCAGCTTTCATTGGACTGATACAGAAACCTGGCCAGTTTGAAGTGTTGCAAGCCTGTGCTGATGGTACAGAGTCAGTTAGTGTCCTGAGACCCTTGCCAGTCTAGACAACCAGATCCAATGTTTGTCCAATACTGTTCAAGTTGGAGCAGATGTGTGCAGTGCACTACATATCCTAGAAAGGGTGGTAAAGCCCTGAATGATCAGAGGATATTCATAAATCACACTACATATAGGCAGGCAAGGGTTTATTTGATGCAATATCAACAAAGTGTGGCAAGGAGAGAGGGAAAGCTGAACAGTTTGACATTATGCTCAAGTGTGGTTACAAATAAAGCTGATTTTTTAAAAAAGTGTTGACAGCAGCCAGGATTCCCACCTAGCTCAACAAGTGCCTAGCCAAGAAAATCATTGAAAAATAGTCAAGAGTAGTCAGCTTGACAACAGCTGATTAGTCACAGATGCTTACAGTTGATTGTAATGCAAGGAAACATGCATCTGTATCAGTCTGGATGGCTTTTGATGAGATATATTGTCATTTTATTGTCATATTGTCAGAAGAAGCATGCATGCAAAAATCTGCTGCAGGGTGAAGATCAACAGCAGCTCAAAATGTATATTCCACACTTGTATGGGGTTTTAAACTGAAATAGCCATCTTCCAGACCTCTTGGTGCTGTTCATGACCCTGCCCTTTCAAAGACCTAAGCCCCTCTAGTTTCTGAGCTATACACCTGTGAAAATGGGGAAAGGTATATTAGGTAGAGTATTTCAAAGTCACCCTGGCATTTATGACATACTATTACTCAAATCCTATGGCCATGCTGCAACTGCCAACAAAAATATAACTGTTGAGGGTTGCTACCTGACATTCATGAGCAGGATTTCCAGGTGTAATGGTAGTCAACTGGGTAGCATTCAATGTTGTGCAAGGTGCAATGACATAACCAATCCATGCCATATTGAGGAGCATATTTCATAAACAGCAAATTGTGCCATTTCAAGCAGTCTGTTCCACCTGAAAACCAAAATACTAGATATAAGGGAGCTTGTTTCATTGCATCTGATGCTTACTACAATATCTTCAATGTCAAACATTCCTTTTAATATTAAACACTCATTTTCATTATTTTTGATGGACTGGTTTTCATGTGTCCTTTCCCCAAAGATTGTTTGGCCAGATGACACAGTTCCTGTCCTGGTAACTCATTTATAAACCCAACATTATCATGCATCTCATACGTCAACTACTGCACTTAACTCAAAGTGGGTCAAAGCATCTCATGTTCACCAACTGGCACCCGAAGGTTGGATGCACTACTTTCACAAGGCTCACAGATCGTTGCCGGGCAAAGATCTCTCAAAGGTAGGCTGTTGATACCCAATACTATGCGTGCTGGGCGACCACTTGCCAGCAACTACCGCGCTTGCGCGTTGACTCCTAAGATCATCAAAATGCAGGCCGCACCAATACAGTCGCTATCGGCGAATCATTACAGTCAGCTCACCGCCCATGCTCCCAATTACACACAGATAATCAGTGCTCACCTCCTGAAGCCGAAAAATCCCGAGCTTTGCAATGAAATCCAATACTCACAGAGGGTTGCGAATCGTTATGTAACAATCCTGGGAATTTCGCGGGAACCCCCGTCCCCACAGTCGAGATTTCAAGGCCAAGAGCCGTGTGGTGCCACCCACGGGCTCTTTCTGGTTTTAGAGTCCATGTTTCTGTACACCTCTGGGGAAATTTAGCCCTTCTACGCATATCTGCAGCGAAGCAAGGCTGCGCTACAAAGCCTGTTCATGGTTTTGTGCACAATCGTATCTAAACCGATTTTTACAAATGGAATCGCTTGGAAAACAACACGATTGCTGATAGCACTATAGTCGAGCGCATGTTAGACGAACGTTGATTTGTTGTTAGTGGCTCCCAAGGTTCGCAAAACGAGCGTGCATTATGAAAGGAACAGCTATCTTCAGATTCTTGTCACAGGTGCGCCGTTTACCAAAAACAAACTTAACCCAAAAGTCGATCAGCAAGACGCGAGGTCGTACGCAGGGCAAGGCGTCGACTGTCACTTCTTGCCCGAACTTTGGGAGGGTTGTGTTGTGGGCGGGCTTCAGCCTGACGTTTAGTCATTTGTTTTCGCGTATCGGTGAGTACGTTGGATCAACTTGCTGGAGTTGCTGCGAGGGACGGAGGGCCGGTCTGTTAAAGGTGGCAGGCAGTCGACGAGATATTTCGGAAAAGTTTGATCATGCCGTGTATGACATCCCGTACTGATACCCATACCCATACCGATGGATTCTTGTTACCTTGGCCCTGTACATTTTTATGGTTCTTGATGCTGCTTGATGCGCAATAATGTTGTGACCGCGCGCAGTAATCGCGCTGGTGTCGCAGCTGCTGTGTGTGTGCGGCGCTCGGGGGCTCGCCATCGTAATTATAAAAAAATTGAAGGTAAGTGCATGAATCTACCCGTTTTGTGATTATTACGATATGTCCTGCCTTAAACACGACGAATGGTCTACAATTATTTTTTTCTAATCTTAGGTAGGAAAGTACACCCTGACCTAGGCCAGGGCCGACAGGCCTAAGGGTCTTTTATAATTCCTGATCACCATAAGGTAAGGTAAGGTATGCCTCATGGCACGGCCAGCTTCTCTGCTTGGGGCAGGGCTAATATAACTTGATGGCTGTGGAGTGAGAGTGGTCTCTGATGTTTCTCACAATCTTGCTTACACTGATTGCCTATTAAATACACTTACTGTCCGGCTCGAGGTCAGCCAAAATCACACTGAACGTTTCATCCAACATTTTACATTACCTCTGAACATCACTAAGTTTACAAATTTAGAGCAGAGATGCAGGATGCAGAGAGTGCCGGTCGAGGGCTTTAAGTTGGACTGGACCGATGTCAGCAGCATCCGGCAAGGATTAGTGCTTGGACCAGTGCTGTTCATAATTTTCATGAACGATCTGCCAGAACAAGTGCCTGCCAGAACAAGTGCGAAGCTGGTCAAAATGTTCGCGGATGACACCAAGGTGTACTGTCGTGTCCTGAGGCCCCTGACTAACTCCTCTACAAGGCTGACCTCGACGCCCTGGCCAAGTGGTCACAGGAGTGGCTGCTCCCCTTCAATGCAGCGAAGTGAAAATAATGCACATGGGGGACTGCAACCTGAGGCTGATCTACTTCTTGGACGGCGCCGAAATCGCAATCGAGTCCACCGAGAAGGACCTCGGGATCTTCGTGGATTACCGGCTCCAGTTCCACGTGCAAACGGTGGGAGCGATCTCCAAGGCTAACCAGATGCTGGCGGTCGTGAGACGGTCTTTTGCCAACATCGATGCTCGCACGTTGCCATTGCTCTTTAAGATCTAAGTACGTCCGTACTTAGAGTATGGCAATGTCATCTGTGGCCTGTTTGGCAAACTGGACCGGAAATGGCTGGAACGGGTTCAGCGACGAGCTACCCGGCTTGTCTATGAAGTGAGGCGCCAGCCATACCCTGAGAGGCTCAGACTCCTTCAGGTGCCCTCGCTGTGCTATCGTCGTCATAGGGGAGACGTGGTAACAGTGTACCAGCTGTTTCACGGAGGTATGTCGCTGTCGGAAGAGGAGTTCATGACAAGGCACAACTCGGAGGTGACGAGAGGACACCGATGGAAGCTCAGAAAACCTCGAGCTAGGACTCTCGTCCGTCGTAACTCGTTCAGCACGCTGGTTGTCAATGAATGGAATGCTCATCCACACCCGGTTGTGTCATGGACCTCAGTTGAACAGTTCAAGTCTAGGCTTGATATGTACTGGGCTGACATCATGTATGACGTCCCACGCTGAATCTTCCCATAATTTGAGACTGTTTGGTTGCCGAACTGGGAGCCTGACAAAACGGGGACCTACAGGCCTAGTGGCCTTTTATAATTCCTGATCACCATAAGGTTAGGTAGGTAAGGTAAGGAGAGCATGGAAAAATCCCTTACAATGTGAGTAACAAAATTTCATGGTTTCACAGCGGCCTCTTATACTGGCTCATCTGATGTGCTGTTGTTTGCTGCTGGTTTGGCTGTTTAGCACAATGCTGGGAAGTTGGCACCAGCGAAGTGCTTTTTGCGTGTTCAGCTTTTTGTCTGGTCATTTCAATTTAGTTGGTGGGTCTTTGGCTATTAGGGTGTTTAAGGATCAGTTGCATACAGGGCCAAACAGTATAAATGGCTGTGATAAATACAACTATGATCTCCTTGGGAAAATAAGTTTGAGATCTTAAAGTGTGGTCAATGCTAGATTTATGGGCAGGTGATGTTGATTACTTGTAGGTAGTGCTTACAGGCATTTTACAACCAGCTGCTGTCCTAGCATGTTTATCAAGGATTTATAATCCAAAAACAAAACAGAGATCATGGTCAGAAAACTTGGAATAGCCATTATTGGTATACTGTTAAAATTTGTTTAACTACATCAGTGGACTATTACTAGCCAGTTCCCCATTATGCAGTGGCATACTGTGTGCCTTTGAGCATTGCCTTGTTTAAGTTTCTTTCTGATCTTATTATGTGTAGTCATATTAGGATGCAACACTGCTAGCTTCCATGAGTTTGTGGGTCTTGGTATAAAGCTGTTAAAGCATGCAGGATTGTTTTATAACCCTATGAAATCAAGATCACCATCTTAATAGATTTTGTAGCCCAAATAGATTGGAAAGCACAAGTAAAAATCATGACTAAAGCATTGTTGGGAAGATAAATATGTCTGCATATTGGTAAAAAAGCAGGCATATATGACCAGAATAGCCTAGACCTTTTTTACAGCTGAGTGATTTGAACTGAATTTTAAGCTGGAACATGCCATCTAAATTTGCAGCTATGTGGATCCTAAGTATAGCTTTGTATTGATGTGTATAGTTATTTGAGATGGACATGCATTGCCTATTCCAGTTGTTATCTACTGGACTTGTAAAGTAGTAATTGCTTGTGAAATACCAGAATGCCTTCTGCATATATACGTGATTGTTCTGACATCAGCTACTTTGTACAAATTGCACCAAAGCCTGGCAAACTAGTCCCAACATAATGAGCTGAACAAGCTGAACTATTTTCACCCAAAACAGTGATGTTAATCTGGTTATTGTGACTAGATTATGTATTGTCTTGCGTAAACTGGTCCCTTAGGACCATATGTATTGTCTTGCGTAAACTGGTCCCTTGGGACCATATGTTAGGTGGGAAATACCAAATTTTACCTGCCCTTTGAAGCATATCTGAAACTGGGAAAAATCTTAGCAATATCATCTTGGAGCTATCATCAGCAACATTTAATGTAACAACAGGCCATAGAAGTGTTTGCAAGCATGAGAACTGGCTTGAAACCTGCAATGAAATGTGTGCTCTGCTCAGTCATGGAAAACGGTTTTATGTGGATAAGAGACATTGTGGTGTGACACAGTTGGTGCATTCTTTGCATTGTATTTTGAAATTACGTCTTACTAAGCAATGAGTGTATTTGTGCTGAAAAGCCTGATTCTGAAGTCAAAGGTTTGCCAAATGTTTATTGGATTGTCAAGTGTCTAGTGGATTGTCAAGTGTCTAGTGGATTGTCAAGTGTTTATTCTAAAGGCACTGGTGTGCCCTGAACAAGAAGAATCTTGGTTTTGCTCTGTTATGTTGGTAATGTCTCCGACCTGTATCAGTGACCACGTTTAAGCATTGACATTCTTTTACCATGTGTGATATATGTTGAGGTTGGTTGCTGCTATCCAGTGGCAGATCCAGAGGGTTGGCCATGCCTCCTATCCCCCCACTCCCACTTGGGCCCTGAATAGGCCCATATGCTCTGAGGGCCAGTTCAGCTTGCCAAGCAAACATGTTTTTTTAACTAAAAATGCAACAAAATGAGATGTGTTTGGGCCCCCTGGTGGCCAAGAGCAGCTGTAAGCATAAGTGATCGGTCTTTAAGCAGTTAAAAATAAGTCTTCACTGATTGAGAGGGTAGCGACTGGGTGATTTTAATGCGCATTACGCTGTCCAGAAGCCTGACACTGTTCCTGGGGCCCTATATGTTCCCTTGCAGGGTCAATGTGATCATTAAGGGGCCTTCTACCCTGTCCTTGATCTCTTTGCTTTGGCTCGGAGGGATTTGTGCTGTTGTCGGAAAATTGTAAAAGAGAACTTAGTGGTGTTCTTTAATGTGACATTGGCCGTTGGTTTCCCCGAAATTCAGCTTTCGGTGCCTCCTGGGTTAGGGGACCTATCCAGGACTTTGCTCAGGGTGGAAAGCACAGCATTGTTGTGTCCGTGGAACTTGGTGCTCCCTGAGAGTGGCACTTTTGATCTCTTTGTTATGCCCTCTGGCAATGGGTGCCTCTTAAAAAATAAAGAGGTTTTGCGCTCGAAATGGTAGTTTTGGTGCTCCTCTTTTGAATGGGCCAGTCCTGGATTTCGTGAAGTGGACACTACGAATGTTTAGGTGCCTTTGGAATTCGGTGCCTCTTGAAAATGAAGATTTAGGAGGTGGCCCTGGAATTTTGTGCCTTTCAAAAATAAATGTCTAGGAGGTGGCCCGGCACTTGGCGCCTCCCGAAAATAGCGATTAGAGTGATGGCCCCGGGGTTCAGCTTCTCTTTAAAATAAAGGCTGCGTGGTTCCGACGTGAAGCCTTTTGGCGCCCATTCACCATGACATTTTGGTGCCATGGAGGGGCACCAAGACTTCATGAGTGGCACAAGGGGGTGGGTGGCTTGATCCCAGGCCTCCCCCTGTGGACCTATCCCTTTCTGCACATGTCATTCAACTGAAAGCAGGAGAATGAGACAATCGAATTTTGCAATCCCAGGGCATTGTCATCACAACTTTCGATAGCGTACCTTCCTGAGCCCAATGGCTGGTTCTCGTAAGAAGAGCCAAACAGCCACTTAAAATCACTGCCTTCCTGCAGCCTTCTGGGGCGGCATGGAGACGGCACCATTTTTAGGCACGTGCGGTGTCCGCTGTGACAGTGGCTGAGGTATTGTGACCATAAAGTTTCTGTTTTTATTCAGAACAAGAATCCGCCTTTGAGCCGAGATAAGATGAAAAATAGTCATATCACATGTTTGCAAGCCTTTGCGTTACAAAAGAAAGACGGACATCTTTATGCCTGAACAGAGACGTGGCTAAGATATCATGAACGCCCATCTGCTGCCCTGTGCTCATCCTCTAGAAAAAGTCTTTGGGATGAATACAGCTTGACATTTAGGTACCGTCAATCAAATCTTTTGTGGTACTAGAATTTGGTTTAACTGGTACTTCCTAGTAAGCTGAAAGTCGTCAACTCATCATAAGAACTGAAGTAATAATGCCAAAAAACAGGAGCTTCGGGCCTTTCTTATGCTAGGTCCAAATTATGGCGAGAACAAACTGGGCAAAATCAGTGAAGGGATGCGTTGGGGAAGGTTCGGAAGGGATGAAGGTTCGAACAGGATGGGGAAGGTTGGTGTGTTCGTCCCCCTCTCTTCCTAATGAAAAGCTCAAGGTTTCACCCCTGAATTGGTTAGTGGAGTGTAAAACTTCAAAGTCACATAGGGCAGGTACAAAGCCTTCTGGTTTTGAAAATAGCTGAAAGCTACCAAATGTAATGTCCTGCAGTAACTGTGGAGTGAGTTACCTAGCAGTTTAGCTCAGACACAGGTCCTATCTGTCATACACGACAGCATAAGTACCATTCTTGGCAAATTGCATTAAAGGAAATTGTAAAACGACAATCAAATGAGTCGATAGCATCTTTCTGGATAGATAAAATTCATTGGAGGAGCTGTCTGGTCAAAACTGGCGGGTGGTTAACACGTACATATGAGATGAACGGTCTCGTGCCATAACAGCATTGTCGCCTGCTGTAGCCATCACTGGCTTCCATTGTTTTCAGTTCGGCAGGCGCGTCTCGTTCGAGATGGTGTCCCCCACGACTGTGGTGAGTAGCTCGCGCCGGGCTTCCACGCTCCCGGGGACCCACTGCCATGCAAGTGCCAATCAGAATGTAATGCTGTGCCCACATTCCAGAGCGTGTGCTCTTGCACAGGTATACCTGGAATTGGCAATGCAGATTAATAATGTGCGTATTTTTCATTTTAGTCTATACAATGAATTGGTTGTCCGCTATTGCATAACTTGGCCACGCGTTTTCGTCACTTAGTCGCAGAGTGCATGGCATTTACTTGAAATATGCTAGGTCGTTTACCCCTGGTCGTCAAAGGTCGTCAAACTATAAGTTTCAGGATCTGCCGGCCCTCCTCATCCTCAATGATGGATAGAGTATCTAAATTGCGCCCAAATGTCACGATACGGCGTCCGTGCTGTTATGTTTTGAACACCATGGTCGTGTTCCACAATTTACATTTTTCGTTGAGAACCGGCGTTGATAGTTGGAACAGATCCGTCAAATGAATCCGCTCTTCACCTGACCATTTTTATTGTTGTTCTCTTTCTAAAATGTGCGTTTTTCTAGTATTCATGACATGACATTTCATTTCATTTTAGATCAAGAGTGTTGGACCGAAGCTTGTGCCGTTCTTCAAGACAGCGGCCGTCTATTTTGTACTCTTTATTCCGGAAGACCGGCCGTCATGGCTGGCGCTGGTGATCAAGTGTCTGCCCATCCTCTCCCTGCTGGTGTTCGTGCTTCTCCACGGCATGAGCCTTGGCGATGAGTAAGTGCTCAAAGGCAATCGGCAATCGTATGCCAGCTATAGTTGAGCTTTGCGGTTTTGTATGTGCTTAGTTCGCGTCGTACAGTATTTCCCCAGCTGACGAAATGCTTTTTATGCTTTGAACGGTCTGTTTCAAGCACAATGTTTGCGTGGAGCAGCTTGTGTCGTCTCCAGGTTTCGCTGTGGATCACGGTAGCCATTTTCGTAAAGTGGACCTACGACGAGCTCTGTTTTCGTAAAGTGGACCTACGACGAGCTTTGTTTTTAAATTGTTCATTGCAGAAAGCCTTAGATTTCGGCGATTCACCCTTTACATCAAAATATTGAAAATGAAAACCCGTAATTGGCGACAGTGGCAGGTGTAGCTTCACTTCACCAGGCTGGGTTCTGGTGGTATCAGTTGGTCCGCGCCTTGGGTTTCGCGCCTGGCGTATTGAGCTGCCGACGGCGGGGTTGGTGACGTCTGGGCCAGCGGTGTGCCGGACACTGCTGGCCAGGGACGGGCTCGGGCTCAGGTGTCAGCCCCCGCCGCCCTGGGGCTGGCAGACGGCCTTGGACATGCGAGCCGGTGGATATGTACATTACTGGGCTCTCAGGCCCGTCCACGTTGAAATTGTGGTATATTTCTTCAGGATTACTGCTCCATGCACTGCCCGCAGGCTCCGTTGATTGTACGAGTTTTAGATAACGTAAGCACCCTGGATTTAGCTGTGGCTGGTGTCCAGTTTGCCATTTGTGCAACAGGATTACTTTTTAAACCAGTCGTCGTCAAGGCCACGCATGGGCGGCTGGTCCGTATCGGCCGACCACACGACAGCAGATACACTAAGCTGTTCTAAATGACTGTACCTATCTAAAGAAAGCCGTACTAGGTGGTCGCCGTAGAGTGCCGTTAGAGATACCAGTGTTTTCAAAGCTAGCCAACAACCGTCACGAGTGCTGCTAAGTAACAGGACTATCCTGGGCACGAGATTCAGTTTTCCCGGATTGTGAGTTCTAGTGTGTTTAGCTCATTCGTTCCAAGCTTGCTTTTATCGACAAATTAAACTTCCGGCATCTGATACGTGGTGCATTGCTTCTCGTTATTGTGTTGTCAACAGTAAAAAGATATTGGAATCGCATCGCCAAATAGAACGGATCCAAAGCGCGTCGGCCGTGCTGTCCAGCATCGGCCGGTCGCGCGCACCGGCGTGGGGTGATGACGGGGCGGCGCGCGCCTCGCGCTAGCCAGCGGGCTTCTGGCCGGCACATATGTGACGTGCGTCAGCCGTGTCCGTCTGGTGGCGAGGGATGCACCGTCGCCTCGCCGCTGATCGGCCCGGTCCGTCGCGCTTCGCAGGTACTCCTACGCCCGCCGCATCATGCTGGGCCTGAGCTTCTGCATGCTGGGCGACGCGCTGCTCGTCTTCCCCGGCTACTTCCTGGAGGGCATGGCCGCCTTCGCAGTCGGTCACGTGTTCTACGTCGCCGCGTTCGGCTTCAAGCCGCTGAACCCATCGGCCGGGGCCGTGCTGTACGGCGCCGGTGCGGCAGGTCGGTCCCGGCAGCCCCGCTCTGGATGGGTGTCGCCGCCCGGTCGTACGCGTCGGTGCTTCCACGCGCGAGGAAGTGTCACAAGGCTCATGGCTTTCTAAACGCTGTTGGGCAAAACCGAACCATCAGCGTGTCTTATGACAGCCGAAAGATTTCAGCTCCAAATTCGGCCTACCTCAGCTGGTTTGTGAGCTTCCTACATACCACAGCTCCAGCCCGCTGTCCGGAGCTCACTTACAGCTGTCGGTTATATCGATGTCAGAATATGTCAGCAAGTGTTTGCAGCGGACCGTGCCGTCCCGGACGCCTCGACGGCGGACCGTCTCAGTGCTGCTCACGACCGGCCTTGCTCTTGCCGTGCGCAGAGGCGCCGCCTGGCGGCCGGCTGAGCGGTGACCGGTGCCGGCAGGGCTGTACCTGCTCATGCCGGGGGCCGACGGCGTGTTCGTGGTGGGCCTGCCGTTGTACGCGCTGGCACTCATCACCATGGTGTGGCGCGCCATCGCCCGCGTCCAGCTGCTCGAGGACTTTTGGACCTGGACCAAGCTCTGCTCCTGCATCGGGGGCATCTGCTTCGTGATCTCGGACACCTTGATCGGCTTCCATGTCTTCTACGGCGCCCCATACATCCAGGTACGTCTGCTTCCGTGGTGGAGGACGCAAGGATCAGAGCAGTCACGGCTGGTGTGCGTGACTGTCAATGTGGCGGGGGTTTGGAGCGAAGGAGCGTGCTATTATAAGCGGGCCCACTCACTCAACTCGACCCGGCCTAATTTTACAATGCCGCCAGAGGTAAGAGGCGACTCGTTGAAGCTTATGACATTTGGAGTTTATTGTGCGCTTTCGAGTAGGAGACACCATGGTCTCAGAAGTCAAATGCAAGTGGTGGTGCCTTTCCTGATAGCCATGGTTCAGTGGTGACCCGTGCTCAGCCCGGACAACACGTATCGGGCTCTGCAATCGCGTTCGGTCCCTGAACATTTCAGTCAGATATTGTGTAACACCGTCCTATCAGTTGTGCTGTCGCGTCTGTGTGACCTTGTTGAGTCCGGCAGGTGGCCGTCCGTGTGACCTTGTTGAGTCCGGCAGGCGACCGTGTGCGTGACCTCGTTGTGCCCGGCAGGCGGCCGTCTGTGTGACCTTATTGAGTCCGGCAGGCCGCCGCCTTTGTGACCTTGTTGAGTCTGGCAGGCGGCCGTCTATGTGACCTTGTTGTGTCCGGGAGGCGGCCATCTGTGTGACCTTGTCGAGTCCGGCAGGCGGCCGTCTGTGTGACCTTGTTGAATGGGGCAGGTGGCCATCCATGTGACGTTGTGCCCGGCAGGCGGCCGTCATGGTACTCTACTACGCCGCCCAGATGGGTATAGCCCTCAGCGTGGTGGACTCGAAGGCGTCTTACCTGGACGCGCGGCGTCGTCAACGCGAGCTTCTGACCTCGGCCGCCGCCGGCGTGGCGCAGTAGACTGCTGACGCTCACGTCGCTAGCGCTGCGCTGTGGCCGAGCGCGCAGGCTCAAGTTCAAAGCTTGGCCGTAGTGAGCTGTCGTCGTGACAGCGATGTCTGACGATGTGCCCCCGCCTGGTCGGATAGTGTGCCTGATGTTTTATGGGACGGGTTGTGGTAAGCCGTGATTCGCTTTCGAAGTGATCGCCCCGTTTTGTGGCTGCTGCCTGGAAGCTTGCAGATTACTACCAGCTTGAATCTGTCATGACTCGGCAGAAGCGTATAGCTTTTTGGAACATACCCTGTTTTGGGCCTTCTGGCTTATGATTTAAGGCGACTGAAGACATCTTTAAGGTTTCACATGCTATTGAAGTAATCCTAATCTCAAATGTTGGCCATCTGATATTATTTGGAACATGGGACATCTCACAGGCTGATGTCATGCAAATTGTGATCATGGATGTTAGCCAGCTGATATTATTTGAAGTGTGTCGCTTAAAGATTTCTGTTGTATTTCGAGGGAGAAAAGATGTCACATGAAGTGAATCCGGTGAGTCAGATTTTGTGATTAAGCTAAGGAACTGTTACCCGGGCGGGTAGCGGCCGCCTGAAAAGTGCACATATGAGCATAGTTGCATTTGAAGGTACAACGGAGCCCACTAAACCTCAAAGTGCTATGTGCAATCTGACTCAGTAGGTCGGTGTGCACTCGTGTGGCGACTGATGGCACGGATGGGAAATTCTAGGGAATGTCTCAGTGCCGATCCAGCTTGCCTCTGAGTGTCACATGAGGGTCCGACCCCATCCGAAGTTGGGTATGTGGCGTAGGTGGGGTCTGCTGCCACCTCCTGGCTCGGCCTGCCTCCCATCCGCTGGCCACCGGCGCTGCTCGGTGGTGAGGCCTAGCTCAGCACTCTGAGGTCACGGCGGCTTGAGTGCCCGATCTTATCCGGGGTGCGCTCCGTGGTCACCTGCCATGGCCGACCGGGTCCTCTCGTCAGCTGCTATCGCGTCTGCCGTACGAGTGCCCTCGTGTCTGCAGCGCTGCTGCCTCCTCACAGGAGTTGAGAGTGAGAGGATCAGTTGTTGGTCACTCCGCCTTGCAGTTCCCGTGTCGGTTTTGGCGTACGTCGCCACTTGATTCGTCTGCAGTTCTAGGGTAGCGGTGTTGTGGGTGTAGTCTAGAGGGTTGGAGCAGCTACCGAGGCTCGTAGATTGTACGTAGCATTGCTTCCACGCGCACTCTTCCCATGCGTTTCCGCCGATGACCAGGGAGCCATATTGGGTTGTTCATTTGCAATATTCGCCCTCACCTTATCCCGAGTGGTGAACTGAGCTTCTGTTTAGCTATGGTGTCGTCCGATTCGTGATTAGGCGCGATCTGTGTAATATAACGATGTATCGTTTCCTCCAAGCATCCTGCGTGGTGTAGGTCCGATGGTCACCCGTGCGGACCAAAGGCGTGTTGACGGGGCGTAAGTCAAGCTCCCCGCATCAAATTCCGATGCTCAAACAGCCGTCGCGTTGCGACCAGATCTTGCTTGCATCGAGATGGAACGAAATCCGATCCACGGCGAGGAGTTTGCCGGAGGGAGGTGTTTGTCTCCGGCTTGCCCACAGGCTCACGAGAGCCGAGGGCCCCACGAGTGTCGATCGAACGGGGAGAGTTGCGTTCGCGGCAGGGAGGGCAGGGTTAGCTTATAGTGGGGTGGTGAAGGAGAGGGTGGGTTCGGCGCAGGGAGCACATGGCCCAGGTTGGAATGACGAGGGAGTGGGGGACGGAGGAAGGGCTCGTCTGGTCGCAACTCAGGATGCCGACGTGTGGTCTCGTCTTAATGCAGCGCTGTGTTGATCGTGTCACACCATTGTACATTGTCGTCGCGTGCTGTCGTGGGTCAGGGGCAGCCAATGCCGGATGGTCGACGGACCGCACGCTGTCAGCGAGAACACGTCATCACTGAGCCTACGCCAAATATACCATGTGAATCATACTGTGTTTGGACGACTCTCCAGCGTTGCAGGGCGGCGCGAGAGGAGCGCGGCTACAGCTCAGGACTTTCACTTCGTGTCCTGTGATCGACTGGAGGATGGCTTGAATGCAGCACTGGATGACCGTGTCGGTACTGGCCCTTCGGACCATGCCTGCGCGTCGTGGGCGCCTGCATGGCGCTACTGCCCGCACCCCAGTTCGATCCACTCCGATATGCCCCTAGTTTACTACAGAAGGGCAGCTAGGGTTTCGCCCAGGAGGGGGCCAAACGGATCACAGGGGGTGATTTCGTTCAAGGGGCCCTACTTTGTCAATATAGGGTTCCTGTTTCTTATTCAGGTGACATTTTTGGGCTCGGGATCCCATCCTATTATTTCGATGGTCCATTTGTTGGGCCCCTTAAAGTGTCTCAAGCCGTGTATCAAGCGGTATGGCCTTCAGACACGGGTTCCCTGTCGCATCACGAGAATGTAGGGTCGTAATAGGCCCCCACCATTTAGGCAACGCTATTGAAGATTTGAATAAAAAAGGTTTTGTTGGCCGATGCGAGATTTATCAGGCCGGTCGACAATATTTCCGCTAAGGCATCGGGTGCATAAGTTTGTATCTTCCGATATTAAGACGCAGATGCAGCATAGAGGGGTCGACCAAAAAAATCAAAACCAAGATTTGGCGAGTGTGTTGTAATGGCAACTGATCGCAATATGCTAGTGCTATTGAATGCACGTGGTCACAATAGTCCAGTCTGATAACAAATATTTTCCCCCGGCCGCGATAATATGGCCATCTCTCTACGTCAGCAGCGCGGGGGGGAGCACAGGGGGCGAGTGTCCCCCTGAGGTTCCGAGGGGCCCGCAGGGGCCTTCTGAATCTGCGATTAAGGGCCATCCTTCCGGGGCCCCACCCCGCCGGGCCGGCACTTCACGCCAATCGGAGGGCCCTGCGCGCTGATCAGGGGTCCCCTGAGTCGATAACAACCTATGTTTCGGTTAGACACCACCAGCAACGCGCAGCTGGCTCCGCGGCGGCATGGACCTGAGGGTCATTTTTCCAAGCAGTAAAGCCCGAGCCAGCAACTTGCATTGCTCAGGGTCCCGCAGCGCCTAGCAGGGGCCCTGTGTTGGCAAGACCGCTGAGTTGGTCGGAGGCAGTGTTCAAGGAGGCCCGAAGAGCCTAGGGGACCCACGAATCCGTCAATCAAGGGCACGACTGGAGGGTCCATAGGCACAGGAACGTTTCAAAAAATGTGGGGGGAGCAAGCTCAGGGCGTGCTTCAGGAACTTTTTCTGGAAAGCAAGCCCGATGGCCGGGGGGGGGGGGGAGATGTAGCTGTTATCGCTCTTTATTCAAATGTCATGGCTGCTATGCTAGATATACATCTAGAGCTGTTTCTCACTGGTGCACAACCTTGCCTATTCGACTTATCTATGTAGTTCGGCAAACAAGGCTATCTAGCTCCCCAGGATTATTTGTCCATTTCAACACTGTCTTTCCTGAAAAGGCAAAGTTCCACGGGCGGGCACGCATTTTGGGTCAGTGAGGAGGCGTCTGTCTCCGCAGGGGTAGTTGCCAAAATACGGGCTGGACAAAGGCTGGTGAGAACTTTAGAAGTGAATCGATGGATCACAATACGACAGATTTGTCACGCACCTTCATTTCCCTGGCTGCTTTTCAAGAGATAGGAACTGTCGCAGCATTTTAGGTGAACACAAATTCGGAAGCTCGAAACTGCCAAAAAATTAACAAAAGCCATAAACTGCATATTCTCCTTTAAGAACCAAGCCACACAATAAAGGCTTTTCTGCCATATATTTCTTATCTGGACCCTGCCTCCGTCCGCCGTCGGAAACCACCGTTCTGGTCCGGCTGTCACCCGCATAACTGATTGCGAACTGATCGTATGGCTGCTTTGTTGTATATTGCTGGATCAGTGTTACTACTAATTGATGCGTAAAACATCTCGGACACCTGCGCAAGTATCCCGAATTATCTTCCCCTACACCACGTCATCGCAGAAAAAGCCTCCAGGAAGCTGCCTGCCTTAGGCATGAATTGGTCCATCGGACCTTCAATTGCCCACCATTCAACACAGCCAACTTGATCTGCTTTCGTGCGCAGGCAGGGGCGTAGCCAGAGGCCTGCCGAGGGGAGCAACCGGTGACAAAAGCCCCTGTCGTGACTGTGATAGTCTGCCGTCTAAATATCGAGACTACTCTTGGGCTCTTTATGCGATAGTCTGCCGTCAAATTATCGAGACCATTCTTGGGATATATGCATTGGCACATGCACACGCGGCGCACTACACGAGACTCCGTTGGCGCGCGTAATCACCCTCCGGAAAGTGGCGCACTTGTGCGAAGATAAACGTCTTCCAACGTCTGCTCTGAACAAGGTTCGTTGCTGTAAATTAGCTGCCTGTGGCATTAATTTACAGCCATCACATCCCCTTCTTTGAGAAACTACCGCTTTACAAATCCAAACGTGTCGGGGGTTGGGACACACGACCAGATTGGGTCCGAGTGGTACTGGGATCCGGTCGCAGGTCTTGGGCGGGGCGCTCCGGCCTGAAGGGCCATGGCCTGGACGCGGCTCCTGCTGCAACAGGTAAGATGCAGGAGCGTCATGATGTGCCTGGACGATTCCCGACCACCAGATGTGTTTGGATTTGTCGCGGATGAACACCGCATCTCCAGCGTGCAGCGTGGACTCGGAGCGGCCGTGTCTGATGCGGGCGTTGTGACCTTAGCGCTGCTTCTCTCGGCGATGCTCCAGGCGCCTTCCGTGATCTTCTGTTACTCCACTTGTCCGCCTTGGCAGGTCGATGTATCTCCGAAACAACAGCTCCGTTGGTGCCGGCAGAGCGCTGTCGATCGGGGTTGCCCTCAAGGTCCTCAGTCCGAATTGGAACTTGGTGAAGCTTCAGCAGCACTTTTGCAGCAGGTTCTTCGCCGTCTTCACATGCCGTTCCGCGATACTATTGCTCTGTGGTGGTGTAGCGATGATGTCACGTGCTTGAACCCAAACTTTTCCGCGAAGGCTCGGAACTCTTTCGAGCTGTATTGAGGTCCGTTGTCAGAGTACAGTGTTTGGCGACCCTTGCTCGGCGAATAGCTGTTCCAAGACTTCCACAACGTGCGCGCTCGTAGTGCTTGACAGTTGGTACACGGACGGGAACTTGGAGTAGTGGTCGACGATGAGGATGTAGTTTTATCCACCGCAGTAGAACAGGTCGGTCCTGACATCGGTCCATAGGCCAGCTGGGACTGGATGCTGGTGCTCAGGCTCGAGAATGCTCGCACTCGCTGCAGGACTTGACTACGGGCACAGTAGGCAGGCAGCGACACGCTCTTCCACGCCCTTCTTTATCCTCGGCCGGTAGACTGTGTCACGAGCTCGCAGTTCCATGTTCACACGACCTTGGTGGCCGGAATGCAGCTTTTCGAGATACCACGGCCGCGGCCTGACAGGGATGACCGCAGCAGCGCCCTTTACAATGAGTCCGCCGTCGATGACGAGCGCGTCGCGAGCGGACCAGGACTATCTGACCGTCGGAAGTGATTCGCAGAGTCGCTGGCCAACCATCCAGGATTACTCTCATGATCTGCTGTAGCGTATCATCTTATTGCATTTCCTTCCGCAGCCCTTCCAGACGTTCCGGATGACATTGTACGAGGCCCATGCAGACGTCAAGAGGGATGGTCGTCGTCGGATTTGGAGGGTTCGTCGGGAGTCGCGACAGAGTGTCAGAGATGCGCATCGTTTTACCCATGCGGTACTTCAGGGTGAGCGTACAATTTTCGATGCGTAGAAGCATCCCCTGCAGCTGGGCTGGTGCACAAGAGATGCTTTTCTGCAGGATCATCTCCAGCGGCTTGCGGTCTGATATGACCTCGAAGGTGCATCTGAACATGTAGGTCCGGAACTTCTCACGGCCAAACACTACTGCCAGCATCTTTCTTTCGATGTTGGCGTACCTGGTCTCGGTGTCACTCAGGGCTTTAGGGGCGAACGCCACAGGTCGGCCCTCTTGTAGCAAGACTGCGCCCAGCACGCTCCCAGAGCCGTTGACTTCCAGCTTTCCTTGCTTTCACATCCAGCAGTCACTTGCTTTGCTGGGTCGTAGTAGGCGAGTGCGGCGTCGGAGGAGATGACGTCCTTCATGGCTTGGAAGTCCTTGCACGTTTGCGGGGACCACCCAGAGATGGCGATCTCCTTCAACATCTACCTCAGGCTGTGCGTGAGCTCCGAGAAGCCTGGAATGAATGAAGACAGGTAGATGCATAGACCCGGAAAGGATTGGAGCTCCGC